GAGGTGTGGCACTGGAGGCTGATCCCATAGCAACCGCCCTTCCAAAGGCTGGTGGCTCAGTTTGCCATCCCAAAGACTGGATGAGCTGACTATATTCAGTTAGTCAACAAGGAGTAGAGTATTTACAACGTGCCAGGCATTCCGAGGGGGAACGAGGAGGAAGACGTGGGTTGAGAAGGGCTAGAGAAGTAGTTGCACCCTCTTAGGGAAGAGGGCAGATTAGCGGTGATCCAGAACTTCCGAGATTGAGTGAAAAAAACCACTAGCTTTGAGGGCATTTAAGATACCTTGACTAAAGCATGACAAAAGCTTCCTGCTCCCTCCTTGTTTCAGGTTCACACCCCACAGAAACTCCACCAGTCCCTGGGGTCTCTTCCCTACACCTAAAAATTAACACAAGAAAACCTAGGTCTGAAGAGTTTTTACAGCACCACAAAGATCATGCCCCAAGCTCCGCCCAGCTAATGCTGGACCCAAGCCCCGCCCAGCTGATGTGGACCCAGGCCCCGCCCAGCTGATGCTGGACCCAAGCCCCGCCCAGCTGATGTGGGCCCAGGCCCCGCCCAGCTGATGTGGACCCAGGCCCCGCCCAGCTGATGTCCCACTAGTTTCATGATTTCCCCAGCCGTGGTAGTTTAGTACCTAAATGTGAAGGAGAGACAGTGGCAAAAGTGGCAGTATGTGTGGGACAAAGTCGAAAACCTTTCAAAAGAGGGTCCAAGGGCTGGCAAGATGGCTCAGGAGGTAGAGGTGCTGGCCATCAAACCTGCCAGCCTGAGCTTGGTCCCCAGAATCCACATGGTGGGAGGAGGGAACTGACCCCCAGAAGTGTCTTCTGACTTCCACTCTTTTAGACTGAAAACTGCTCCAAACTCGCCAGCCCTGTGTCCCCTTGGGATCTGCATCCTACACGGCTCCGAAGAGGCTAGCCCCAGGTCGTCCTGCCTCACAAACTGCTCCAAGGCACCTAGCCCCAGATGTCACCACAAGTGAAGGAGGGCCTACACTCCTCTCTCCGTAACAACGATGCCCAATGCCAACAAGAAGTAGTCATAGAAAAGATTGTGCTGTCCTTTATTCACTTATTATCAAAAGGCTGGGATGTTAGGTCCCAAACCCAAGACAAATGGCCGAGGGGCCTATTTACATATCAAAGCGGACCTGGCTGGCAGGTTCTCCCAGCATCCCCCAGTCCCTACCTGTTTCAGGGTATGGCTGGCATCCAGCCCAGGGGCTGGGCTACCCTTCCCCCAGACAACAGGAAGCAGTCTAAAAAGCACAGGGCCCTCATTCCTACCTCATCAGTCACCCCCTTCCTATTTTCTTACCTTTTATAATAAACAAAAGGGAGAACTGTTGGGGTCTCATCTAGAACCTCTCAGCTCTGGCCAGCTACACTTGTCTGGGTATCTCTACTAAAGGCACTTACAGTCCCCTTTTCCTCTTTTGATCTACCCTCTACCCTGGTGGTCTCCCGGCTCTCCCCTCCCCCCACTCCTCACATGGGCTGACTCAGGGTCATGTTTATTCTGGACTCTCAAAGATGCTCTGCCTCTGACTATGCTCTCTACAATAAACTTTCTCCTCCACCATACCCAGGAGCAGTATTGGCCTTCCTTTTTATTTCTTTTTTTTTTTTTTTTATTCACACTGACCTCCACATAGGTGGCATGATGCACATGCACACACACACACACACACACACACACACAGCACACTTAATAATTAAAAATGAGATTCAAGAAGCTCAAAAGGCAGTTAGCTTCCTTGAGAACATCATTGTACAACACAGTACAACAGCTTGCTCAATTTTACAGGCATCAAGTGTAAGTTCTGGCTGTATATTAGGTCTTCCTATCAGCTTGGAAGCTGTAAAAACACACAAGATTCAGTACTGGCAATTCAGATCTTCAGGTATAAAAGGTGTATAAGTGGGAACGGAGAGAAGAGCAAATTGTATGAGGTCAGCACTCAACTGTGTGGCTAATGAAGTAGGATGGCCTGCTGACGGGGAAGTCATCGAGGCTGAAGTTACGCATGCACGGGGCTAAGAGTACGGCTCTGAACTAGGCCATCTGCACTCAAACAAGCAATGCTCGGAAGCTCCATTTGTGCCTCAGTTTCTTGCACGGTACAAGGGAGATGGCAGGAGTACTTTTTGTTTCTTTGTTTGAAACAAGGTCTCACGTAGTCCAGACTGGCCTCAGACTTGGCTGTGCAGCCAAGGATGGTCTTGAACGCCTCGTTGTCGACCTCCACTAGTACTACATGCCTGAGTTGTTTATTCGGTGCTGGGGATTGAATGTGGAGCTTTGTGCATGCTAGGCAAGCACTCTATCAGCTGAGCTACATCCTGACAGGAGTACTAGACTAAAGGAACCCAGAGGATCAATATACATATAAAGTGATCCTGGGAACATGTTGACTGTTTTGTCTTTACCTAGTGTCTACTCCGTCCCTGGCATTTAAAAACTGTTCAATAGATATTGAACAACAGATGAATCCACAAACAAATAAATAAGCAATGTTACTGAGTTAAAGGGGGAATCCATTATGGGAGGTGTGCGGTCTTCAGTAAGGCCTGCAGGTCAGAAAGACTGCCAAGCAAAACAATGGAAGAAGCAGACTTGGTGTTTGGTGTATGGTGTGGATGCCTGAAACATTAATCACTCATTCCTTAGCTCTTCTGTATGCATGCCCGGCCATTTTGAACAAGTCTGTAGAGAGATGAAGAGGGCAGGATGAAGTAACAGCGTGTCTTGGGCCAGAAGAGGCTGAAGGCGAGCCCTGAGTCCCAGGAGTGAAACTGTGTGGTGTGGGGAAGTCTGTGACGGCTTCAAGACCCAACCGCCACTCACTCACCCTGCCCAAAACCAGCCCTGGGGTTTTCTCTCTCCTTAAATTAGCTTTACTCCAAAAGGGATAAACACCAATGTTGTCTTTAAAAGAGGGTAAGATCCCAAAAGTAAAATCTGTTTGGAAAAAAGATTGGCTACTAACAGAACTATGAGAGAAGCTGGGGGTATATTGTATTTTAAAACGTGCATTCCGCAGACTAGTGGGCAGAGGCCCAGAAAGTCACCCCAAACAACAGTTAGGAGAACGTCAGGCAGAGGTGGGACAGGATGAGGTGTTTGCAGCCTAGGGGTAGAAAAGGGGATGTGAACTCCCCATAAAAGAAAATTGAGGGAGAGAAAGAACCCCAAGAGGAAGCTAAGGAGCTGGAGTGCTGAGATAACTCAGGCTAAGGGAATGATTGGGGGGCGGGGTGCTCTGCGGGGGCGAGGAAAACTAAGCAGGTCTGTGCTTTTATGGTGAGGGTAGGCTTCCAAACAAAGAACAGTTTAAAACTCGGGCTTTGAAGGTGGACCCCCCATTCTGAAAAAGCACACAGGAAACCTCATGCTCTGTCACCTGATGTTTCCATCCTCAGAGGGATGTCCTGTGTGCTTGCAGCGTGTGCCTGTGTCTGAGCATGTCTGTATGTGCACCGGGGAGTATGCCTTAGGGCAACAGAGGGGGAAGGGCGCTGGCAGAGAAGCAGAAGAATCTCGGGGATTGCGATCAAGGCTGATCCTAGCCCCTCCCCCACACTATAAACACACACACACACACACACACACACACACACACACACACACACACACACACGCTTTGCTCTTTTCTTCCCCTCCCCCACTATGATCACATCCAGGTGAAGGGATCTAGGGAGTCCATCAGAGTAAATTCACAAACGGTTTCAGCTGGAGCTTTATGCCTCGGGAGCCTGCTGGCTCGTTCCTTTGCACACTTACAAGGCACTTGCACACACATGCGCGGTCACACCCACACGCACACTCTTGGCACTCCAGAAGTCAAGCCAGGCCAGATGCAGCTCTCCTTCGGCTTGGAGGAAACAGACAGGCTGCAACATGAATGAAACCTACCCAGAAAGGCTGCTTTTTCGTTCCGACCACGCAACCTCGAGCCAAACCGCCTGGAATATGTAGCAAAGTTTTATTTCGCTTTTAGAGTCTCCAGTTACTCTTCTACCATTTCCTGTGGAAAATTGAAGCTTTGAAGTGTCTAGCTCAGGCTTTCGCAGACAGAGACCGCCAGCGCGAGCCCCGGAAAACAAACGCCCAGCACCACCCACTCTGCCGTCAGGACGGAAGGTTCAAACCCACCCAGCGCCCTCCAGTGGGGCGCAATGAGGGGATTTCAGAACCCGCGGAAAAGGACACCCTTAACTGACAACCCCTCCCTCCTGCCCAGGTCCTTGGTGCCTCTCCTTCAGCCAAGTGACAGGGCGGGGAAATTGGAATTCATTGCGTTATCCATCTCTAGATCTTCCCACTTTCCCCCAGCTCTGGGTTCCAGTGCTCAGAAACTGCTCGGGGAAACTTGGAGCTATGCAGTGTCGCCGTCCCACCGCCAACGCCACCACCACACACATATACCTCCCTCGACATTTTTAGGTCCACCCAGCTCTCCCCTTCCACCTTCGCCACAGCCAGCCATGCCTTCCCAGCGCACCTACAGCGACCCCAGAGGGCCTGGGGCAAGGCAGGGAACTGCATGGCAGAGACGCGAACGCACCTCCTCCAGATCTTAGCCAAACTCGAGTGTGGCACCTTGAAAATCAAACCAGGGTTCTAGAAGATGTGTACTAGACTCAAACATCTCAAGCCTAATCCGAATAAAATAACATGCTAAATTAAATGTAGAAACAAAAGAGTGTTGGATTTTGCCCGCGTGCTGCGGGAGGCAGCCATCTCCTGGCCCTGCACGGGGGGCGGAACCCTGTGTGCTCTGGGACCTTTACTACCCGTGTCAACTACGCGGATCCCTGCTCAGGAATGGACCTGCGGATTTCTAGCTGTCTTCAGTCTGACCGCCACCTCAAAGACTGCGGACAGCGCGAGTGGCCGGAGAGACGCGGGAGGGGGGCATGAGGCAAACTTAAACCCGGAGTTGACTGAGTTGAGTGAGGGAAGGGAGGCATCCGTGCCGCCACTTACCGCTGGCGTTCTTCCCACAGATGAGATGCTGGTAGGGCTGCAACAGCCCCCAGATTTCCGAGTCGTTGTTGACCGTGTGCTCTAGGGTCTCCACAGTGAATCTGGGCGCTTCGTGAAGCGTGTGGTGGTGGTGGTGGTGGTTGGCGGCGGCGGCGGCGGCGGCTGTGGCTGTGGCCGGCGGGACTGCGGTCGCCGCCGTGGCTGGCGGGGCGCAACAGCTGCTGCCCCCGCTGGCGCTGCTGGCTGCGCTGCAAGGGCCACCGCTCGCCGCTCCCCCTCCAGGCGTCTCGCGCTCCTTATCCGCGGCAGGGACAGCACCCGGGCCTGAGCCGGGGCCTGGGCCAGAACCCGAGCTGGAGCCAGGGCAGGGACCGCTACAGCTACGAGGTAGCCCGGAGGCCAACACCCGCGTGTAGATGTCCCGGAAGAGGCTCTCCATACAGGCGGTCAGGTAGATGGCGGCATGCTCGTGGATGCGCAGCGCCACGCGGCTGTCCACCATCCAGCGGTACACGCGGCCCACGGAGAAGGTGAGGCCGCAGCGCGCCGACTTGCCACGGCCCAAGCGGTCGCCGCCAGCGCTGCTCATGTTGTAGAGGGACAGCGCGGCCAGCGCGGCAGCAGTGCAGTGCGCCGCCAGGCCCCAGGACAGCACAATCTCCATGGCGCTCTGGATCTCGTACTTGGTGCACTTGGCGAAGCGCAGGCTCAGGCGCTGCGCCTCTTTGGCGATGCGCACCAGAGCCCGGCTTACCAGCATCGAGAGCTTGGCCAGTGCGTCCTTGGGCAGGCTGCCGGGGGCCGCTGGGCCTGCCCGGGGATCCCGGGAGCGCAGCAGCAGCAACTCCAGTTCCTGGAGGGTCCAGGGGACCTCGTCGAGGTCCGGCAGCAACCGCGAGCAGTGCTGGCCGGCGCAGTCCAGCCCCTCGGAGTCTTCCACCAGGGCAGTGTTGACGGTGTCGAAGCTGTTGTGCCGGCTGTGCATGGAGTCAGCTAGAGGCGGCCAGCAGCTCCCGCCATACGGAGACGCCGGGTGAGAGTCAGAACAGCACAGAGACAAGTTGGAGGAGCGCACAGAGTCCGCCGCACCACCATAACCCGAGTCCAGTGTCAGATCTTCCAACGTTCGCACCACCGGCTTCTTACCTCTTCTGGCCATCGCTGCGCCACTTCATGCTGCAGCCGCCGGGGAGCCGAAGGGAAGGAAAGACAAGGAGCTGTGGGCACCAGGGGCCACGGGGACAGCCCGGCTCCTCGTCGCCTAGGCTCACTTTCCCACCTGGCGTTGCCAGCAAGTGCCACTACTTTCGCTTGCCTCCGTGAGCCGTCACCACTGGAAGATACACGACAGAGACTGAAGTCATCTTCTGGAGTCGGGGCCAGAGCTAGGGCGCACTGAGCCGCAAGCCAGGCCCGGAGGGAAGCTCCTGCCAGGACCCACGCCTTTCATCCAAAATAAAAGTGTCTGGCCCTCTCCTCCCTGGGACCGGACGGATGCAGAAGCCTCTGAAAGCTGGCCACAGTGTCGGTAGGACCGAGATCGCCCCAGATACGGCCGCCGCAGCTCGGCGGGCAGCGGGCTCCCGGCTCCGGGATCCGGGCCGCGGCTCTTTGAGCTCCCGCCCCGCACTAAAGCGCCGTAGCCAGGCGGCTGCAAAACCCTGCTGAGCCCCAGCAAACCTAGGCAGCCAGAGGGCGGGCGTATGCAAAGCAGGGCGCAGAAGAGCCAATGGAATCGTAGGATGCTAATTACTTAGTTTTTTTTTTTTTAATTCCTCCTCTCCAAACGGCACCGCCCCTCAGACACGCCCCCCCGGCCTTGACCAGGGCCGCAGCTAGGAGGGAGCAGCGGCCTAGGAACCATGACCTGTGGAAACATGGAGAAGGAGACTTGGAAGCCGCCATCCTGCGACTGTCGCTCCCCTAGTTTCTGCGCCCCCTCCCCATCGTCGTTCGTTACACTCAGCGGTTCACAAAGTGTTTGCCTGAGGGTCACTTGGTGTTTTGGCATCTTGGATTCCTTTTTCCCTTCCACCATCCCATTCAAGAAGCATGTTTCTCCTCCTCCCTCTTCATGCACCCTAATTCGTGCTGGTGTCTTGTCTCGGCGTGGGCGTGGGTTTACTCCAGCTGGAGGGAAACAAACCAGGAAAGTAGAGGTGGCAGGCTGATGGATGCCACGGGGAAGCGAATCTCCAGTCATGAACCGCCTGTCACCAGTACTCCTAGGTTTTGGTTCATCCAGCAGGAATGAACACCCACCCCTTAAGGTCAAGGGTTTGCATGCAGCAGGGTGGTTCTCTGCCACTTTGCAGTTCTGGTGGACAATCTTCTAGACGGCTCAGTTTTAAAAGGGGTAAATTTGAGCAGAAGGAGGGTAATCCTTTTCAACTAAAGAAAGATACGTATGCGTGAGTCTGGAGCATTTGTGTATGATGGCATTTATTGCCTTTGTTATTTGTATGTCCCCACTTACCCTAGGAGAAACCACGCCTTATTCATGGGAGCTCCTACACAATCCTGCTTCTGCAAGAAGCCCACCCAGATCTTCCAAAAATGCCTTGGGTGTTTCCACCACCCCACCCTAGGTCGATACCATTTATTTATCTGTCTGGTTTCCACATTGGGCTGGGGAGTTGTGGTAAATATTATGAGTTGATGAGGGAAGGATATGCTTTGAACTGCTCACCAACGGCCAACAGGGATGAGAAATGACACTCAGCATCACTGATCGTCAGGGAAACTACAAATCAAAACCATGATGAACTGCCAGCTCATGCCTGTGAGGACTGCAATCATCAAAAAGTCGAAAGATTACAAGCATCAGCAAGGGTGTGGAGAAAAAAAAGGAACCTTGTAATTAGTGGGAAGGGAAAATTAATATAGCCATTATAGAAAAAAAAATGCTGAAGATTTCCCCAAAAACACAAATTAGAAGTACTATGGGATCCAATAACCCCACATCTGGATTTTCATCCAAAGGAATAAAATCACTATCTGAAAGATCTATTTGCACTCCTGTGTTCAGTGAAGCATAATTTGCTAACCAAGACATAGAATATTGCTCAGACTCCAAAAAGAAGAAAATCTTGCCATTTCTGACAAATGACCAATCTGAAAGACGTCATTATGCTAAGGGAAATATCTCACCTCTATGTCACTCTAAAAAGAATTACACTTGCAGTAATAGACAGAATTATGATGGCAACTGGGTACTGGGGGGAGGGGAAGAGGGATTTGTTCAACATACAGACTTGCAGTTATAGATTATTGAGTTTTACAGCTCTAGAACATGGCATCTGTACAGCATGGCATCTATAGTGAACAATGATGCATGTGCGAAGTTTTCTATGTGTTCTTATCAGGCAGAGGGAAAGGTCACATGTATGAGTTGAGAGATGTTAATTATCTTGATTATGGTAATCATTTACAATGCATATATTAAATATCACATAGTATACCTTAAATGCCTATAATTTTTATTTGTCACTCATATCTCAGTTAAGATGGGGGTGAGAGAGTGGGGTATCTGTGGATTACCTGCTATTTATCCCACATATCCTACATCATCCTATACTTTCCATCTGAATCCATATCCATATCAACTTGTTCCCTCTCCTGCTTTCTATAAACTATGTAATCTGAGTCTTCCAAAAGTCCAGTTCCCATTTTGTCATACAAAAAAAACCCCAAAACCAAAACCAAAAAACACAAAAACACTCACATAAAAAAGTGAAGGTTCTCTTCTCTCTCTCTCTCTCTCTCTCTCTCTCTCTCTCTCTCTCTCTCTCTCTCTGTGTGTGTGTGTGTGTCTGTCTGTCTGTCTGTCTGTCTGTCTTGAAGGTACCTAAAATTCACACTGATTAGCTGGCTTCCAGGAATCCCACACCATTGCCACACTCTCTTTCTGTAATATCATGTGAATTCTTCTCTGACCTCCTAACACGCCAGACTACACACACATCCCGGGGTGGCGGGGTGGGGGGGGGGGGGGGGGGGGGGGGACGACACTCTCTCACATACAGCTATTGCCTGCTTTGGGCTCTAACCTTCTTGCCATCTGATGTTCCAGCTGCTGCAATGCCTTTGCAGATGCTGTTCCCTTTATGCAAATGCTTCCCCCTTCTTCCCTGCCTGGAAAACTCCTCTCTTCTCATCCTCTAGGATTTGGTTCCCCTTGGGAGTACTCGAAGTTTTTTTCCCTGGTGCTGCCCACTTTCCACCCAGTCATGAGAAGGTATCCCCATCCACGTGGCTTGGTGCTTGTTCTAGAGCCCTTTTTATTTGTCTGCATGATTTCCTGGCCATCTTGTCCACTTCAAGCCCATATGCTGAAGACACTTGGATGAGGAGTACTCAGTAGAGCACAGACCTCAAAGACCTGGAGATGCCTTGTGTGTGTGGAGGAAACTTGCCACAAAGCAATGCACTTCACACTGACTCATTTTCTTCTGTGGTGTGAGGTCAACCTGGCTGGATGGCTGTCTTTGCCACTTTCCCAGCCATATGTCCCAAGCTCATCCATTCCATCCATTTTCACATCTCTGAAATGCCCAGTCAGCCTACCTTAAAGAGCTGTGCAACTGAAATAAGGTTCCACATATTATAATAACCAGAAAGTATGGTGCTTTGAATAGGTATGGCCCCCATAGACTCTTGTGTTTGAATGCGTGGCCCATTGGGAGTGTCACTATTAGAAGGTTTGACCTTGTTAGAGTAGATGTGGCCTTGTTGGAGGAGGGGTGTCACCATGGAGGCAGGCTTCGAGGTCTCATATATACTCAAGCCATGCCCACCCAGTGTGGCAGTGTTTCTCCTGCTGCCTGAGGGTCAGGTGGTAGAACTCTCAGCTCTTCCAGCACCATGTCTGCCTGCATCCTGCCATGTAAGCCAGCCCCAATGAAATGTTTTCCTTTATAGGAGTTGCCATGGTCATGGTGTCTCTTCACAGTGAAAGAAACCCCAACTAAGACAACATTTGTTAGTATATTTTACACTTCCCTCTTTTTTGCACAAAGCTTGTGGAGTCAGAAGAAAGGAAAATGAACATTATTTATAAAGTAAAGCTGCCCCAGCTAGAAGGCATTGCCATATCTAGAAAGAAATGCTTCTCTTCTGAAGCTTCAGATGTACATTTGTCTCCTCTTCTCTTCCAGATAGCACACACTCCTTAAAAGCTGGGACCTTGCATCTAACGTAGGGCCAGTACTGATGGCCGTACTGCTTAGCACTGTAAATAAACAACAGCCTACTCCAAATATTTCACAAAGGTAAAATCTTTTGTTAATAACATTAAATGACCAAGAGTGAGCGACTACTAACACTGCCAAGAATAAGCACAGCAGCAGAATGATAAAGGTCCCATAAGATTGGAAGTGTCAGTCAACAAAAAGAGGGGGGGGGATGAGGATGAGAATGATGAAGGTCCTATAAGACTGGAGATGTCAGTCAGCAAAAAGAGGGGGGGATGAGGATGAGAATGATGAAGGTCCTATAAGACTGGAGATGTCAGTCTGCAAAAAGAGGAGGGTGGGGGAAAGAGAGGATGGGGATGAGAAGGAGGAGAAATAAAAGCGGTCAAAGTTCTACTTGACAGAGATAACCAACGCTAACAATTTGTATTGCTTCCTGCCTTTTAAATGTTCCCTCTGCTGTTTTCTCTGGAAGGTGTATGCGTGTGTCCGTGTAGGTCAATATAGTAAGTAAAACATTGCTTTTGTCTTGCTATAATAAAACACTATGGCCAAGGCAACTTATAAAAGCATTTCTTTAGGCTTATGTTTCCAGAGTGTTTGAGTCCACGATGGCGGACCCGAGGCAGCAGGCAGCTGGAGCAGAAGCTGCTCACATCTTAACCACAAGCCCAAGGGGAGAGAGGGGACGTAAGATGGCTACAGTCTTTGAAGTCTCAAAGCCCTCCTCCAGTGAGACACCTCCTTAGCTCCCCCAGACCATGCCACCAACTGGGGACCATGTTCAAATATCTGCGCCTATGGGGGACATTCTTACATAAGCCACCACAGGATTCTTCTGTAAGTTATCTTGCATTCTGATTTCTCCTCAAACATTTCTCTGAGCCTTATAGTGCAATCATTTCCCCCATGGTAGTCAAATCTACCCTAAATATTTTACTTTTGTGACTAGAAAATATTCTATTGTATAAAAATTTAAAACACTGAAGAAAGAAATTGAAGAAGACGCTAGAGGACAGAAACACCTCCCGTGTTCAGGGATTAGAGGCCAAAAGCTATTTACAGATCCAATTCAATCCCCATCAAAATGCCAGCGACATCCTGCACAGGGAATCAAACAAGCCAGTCAATAAATGGGATAAAGAGGTGATGAAAACAACTGACAGTTCTCAAAAGATGAAATAAAATGGCCAATGAGCACACGAAAAAAAGTTCAACCTTGATGGCCTAAGAGAAACATGAATTAGAATTACACTGGGATTCCACCTCATCCTAGTCAGAAAGGCAGTCATTAAGAAAACAAATAAGGCCAGGTGGTGGTGGCACATGCCTTTAATCCCAGCACTCAGGAGGCAGAGACAGGTGATTCTCTGTGAGTTCAAGGCCAGCCTGGTCTACAGAGCAAGATCCAGGACAGGCACCAAAGATACACAGAGAAACCCTGTCTTGAAAACAAACAAATAAAAACAAATACTGGCACAGATACAGGTAAAAGCTCACCCTT